GAACTCGGGTCCTTGCGCTTGTGAGGCAGTTGGCGGAACCACTGAGGTAAATCCCCGGCCCCAAAAGTGTCCTTTTTAAATTGACTAGGCATATATTTTTTCCTCTTTGTTTCTTATTGAAAATTCTCATTATATTCTAGGACTTGGCAAATAGCTACTTGTTTTACATATTAGGCAAAGTATGACAGATCTACTTTATTTTAAATCTTTTGTACTTCTGAAAGAAGGCTTGTACCTGTGCTTTCCCTGCTGCGTCTTAGAGCCTATGCGTTTGGAGGAATAGGAGGGGCCTTCTGTCAGCCTAAGTCTGATTGAGGTCAGAGGAACTGACGGGAGAGCAGGGCCGAGTCTGCCCGGGGACACAGCTGAGGGCATTTACCTACTTACTCTTTTACTCATTAATTTAGCAAGTGTTTCTGGAGGATACCTTATGCTACTAGACACTAGATCTGCAAGTTTTAGCCACAACTACTTCTTGTCGGGACCAGAGGGCTAAAGAAAAGGCAGATTTCTAGTGAGGATTTTGGAGCTTGGAAGCCGGGATTGATAAGGTTTCTATCTGCTGTTTCTGCTCACCACCTGCTCACTGGGACTCAGCCTGTAGGAATGGATGGGGCTGTGGAAGCCGCAGTGGAGTCTGGGGGCAGGCATTGGTGCCAGCTCTGCCTGGGGTGAGAAGATGTGGGGTTGAAGGGCAGCATTTCCACGCCGAGCTACTAAATCACCATTCTATTTCACCATTATTTTCTTTTAAAACTTCTATTTTAGGCACTATAAATGTTTTTAGTGAATTACTGAGGTTAAAAACCGTAAATGCTAAAAGCAATGAATACAAGCTAGTATGTGCTGAGGCTGCTCGGGGAGGAGGGGAGAGGAGCAGCTGTCCTCCTGGCTGGGACTGAGCCTTGATTTACCAGCTGGTGGTGCAGGCTAGAGAGCAGCCTAATTGGACCTTCCCGCACTGCAGTCTCCTTGTCTGGAAAGTGGGTGCCAGTGATTTCTGACCTGTAAGAGGACACAGAACGAAAGTTAGGGAAGACAGTGAGTGCATCGTGTGCCCCATGTGCTGTGCCAGGAGACATGCTCACCATGTTTGCTCTGTGCTTCTTGCTGCTGTTTCTGTTATTACTGGAATGCTTTCTGTGTTAGTCAACTTTCTGTTACAGTAACAAATACCTGAGATAAATAAAATTCATAAGCAAAAGGGTTATTTTGCAGTTTTGGTTTTGTCTTATTTTGCTTTTCTGAGAAAGGGTCTCCCTATGTACCTTAGGGTGGCCTTGACCTTGTGGCTCCTGGCTCAGTTTCCCCAGTGCTGGGATCACAGGCATGTGTGGAAGGGTCACTTGGCCATTGCCTTTGGACCTGTACTGTGGTGAATAAAGCTGCTCACCTCATGATGGCCAGGAAGCCGAAAGAGAAGGGAAGAGACCAGCAGCCACTGTCCCGTGGGCCTCTTTAAGGGCATGCCACAGTGACATGAGTCCTCCCGCCAGGCTCCCACCACCTTGCAGTGGCACCACACTAAGGGCCAAGCCTCTAACACGTGGGCCTTGGGGAAGTTTCAAACCCAAACCATAGCATTCTCTCCAGAAGAGCTGGAGCTGGGGGCGATGGCCATGCCAGTAAATGGTCTGTGAGTCTCTGTGACCTTGTCATAATTCTTCCGTCAGAGAGTGTGACAGTAGGACTTGCCTTTTTAAAAAAATTGATCTGCCTCCGTTCTGTTGCTTGGTACTGTTAACTAACTGAAATCATTGTTGTCCTAGCTACATGAGAGCAGTTACGACGCTGGCAAAGCCCTGCAGCGCCTGGTAAAGAAGCCTGTGCCCAAGCTGATCGAGAAGTGCTGGACTGAAGATGAAGTGGTGAGTGTGGACCGCTGCCTAGTTCAGGGTGTTGGGTGGGGTCTCCCTTCTTAGTGTGCACTTGGGAGCGGCTCATTCAGAAGACAGGCTGGCCCTGCCTTCTCTCAGTCAGAGGGGAAGAGCCTTGGAGCCTTGTGATTGTACAGAAAGACTTGGTTTTAGTAAGATTGGTTTCATAAATGACAGGAAAGATTTCCTCAAGTTTCATGGAGAGGAGAAATTGATAGTTACTTCTAAAAAATGTTAATTTGAGTTTGTTGTTGGCACAAGGTAACTTAAGATGCCACACTATTTAAAGAGGCAAGCCTGCTGAAACCAGTTTACGAATAACCTAGAGTAGCTTTGGTGACCCATTTTTATTCTGAGAGCTTGCAGAACTTCTAACATACTGAAGGCCATTGATCAAAAGCGGGACACATAGACTTGATTAAATAAACACAATGGATTTTACATAGCCATTCTATTGCCATGGCCCCAAAAGGACATGGGGAGAGAGAAAGGTGCCCACAAAGACAGACTCACAGCCCACAGTTTCTGTCTAGCAGACAGAGCTCATGAAGCTACATCCCCATCTTGTGACTTTTAAAAGGTATTGCCGTAAATAGCTTTCCGGTTTCGTACACTTTTCTAAATGCAGCCTTCAGTGTGACATTTGTCCTTCAGGGTCGGGTGATATGGAAATGAACGTTGGTACTGATAAGCATATTGATCACAAGTTCCTCATCTGAGTGTTAAAACACGGCAAGGAAAGTGCTAACAGACTATGTGTGGTTTCTTACCTGCTCGCTGTCTTGTGTAGTAGTGTTCATCGAGTGCCTACCATGTGCCGGGCACTGTGCTAGGATCTGTGCTGAGACCCGCACGAGGTGTCTCCCTGTGCGTTTTATCTCTTATGAAGGGGGATCGGCCTAACTCAGTACTGTGTGTGGCACGTGGTCTGAAAGTGCAGAGGAAGGGAAAGCAGCTTGTGGGAGGAGGGTGAGGAGTGGCGGCTGGGGCTGGGGCACTGCATCAGGTAAGGGATGAGGGAAGGCACGGCCTGGGTGAGTGAGGGAGGGAGGGAGGGAGGGAGGGGCAGCTCCTGGCGGGTCTAGGAGGGGAGAAGCCTGCTTCCTGAGATGGAAGTGTTCTTGGCACATGCAGGAAGCAGACAGGGAGGTGGTGGGGCACTGTGAGGCAGGGTGGGGCATGGAGGGCCCATCAGTGGCCTGTCCAGGCGGTCTGCACAGCTTCTGAGCGCAGTCGGCTCTGGGTGATGACCATAGCCCAGGCTGGAGATGAGGAGCTGAGCTGCATGGAGGTCCTGGATGGATGCGGAAAGCAAGCCGAGTAGAGCTGAGAGAAGTTGTTCATCTGGAGGCTCGGGAGGGTGGGCAGCCGAGGGGAATGGGGAAAAGACTTGGAGGCAGCAGAGATGGACTGAGACAGTCCCTGAGCTCAGCCTTGGTGACAGAGTGCCTGGTGACTGGTCCCTCGAGACTTAACTTTACCAGGTGTAGGATGAAGTGAGTGTAACTGCTTAGGATTTGCAAACTTTATTTAAAGTAGAGAGGTGGGGGCCGGGGATGTAGCTCAGTGGCTTCTCCACCTGCCTTGCAAGTGGAAGGTCCCGAGTTCAATCCCTGGTACCAAAATAAATAAATAAGTAAGTAAATAAATAAATAAAGTAGAGAGGTGGAGGGAGGGGCCGGGCATTTAGCTCAGTGGTGTCACCTGCCTCGAAAGCGCAAGGTCCTGAGTTTGATCTCTGGTACCAAAAAAAAAAAAAGTAGAGAGGTGGAAACATTTTTGGACGTTCTGGCAGTTTATTGTAAAAGCATTAAATTCAGTAGTTTTGAGAAATCATATTGGTGCTCTTTTTCTCACTGTAAACCTATTCGTGTGGGAAAGAGATGTAAGATTTAAAATTCTCCAAAAGGCCTTTGTGAAGAAAGATGGAAGAGATAAGAGAGATGGACCAGAGGACCGTGTGTAATCCCACCTGCCTAGGTGGTCCCCTCGGGGCCTGGCCGAGGGTGTCCTGCCAGCTGTGGGTACTTCGGTCCTGGAGCAGTTCTTCTCCCTTCCGTCATCTTGTTTGTTGGCGTCCCTTCCCTTACTGCACCTTTCTGCCTGCCCTCCTCAGTGTCCCCCCATCTCTCCCTCAGGCTGCATCCTCCCTGTCAGCTCTGACTCTCCCCTCTCCCTTCCTTCTCTTTTCTCATGACCTTTCATTCCCTCTGGGGTTTTTAAATACACAGCACAGTCCTCTCTTCCTGCTTAAAAGAAAGCTGATTTCCTTTTCCAGCAGCACATGCTTATGTGAGGCAGGATGTTGACTGTGTCCCCATTGCTGCTGCTCAGGGACCTTTAGCAGTGGTGAGGAAGGGGCACCTCAGGCATTAAGAAGAGCTCCACTTCTACTGTGAAAAACAAAACAGCACTCCAAAGTGGTGAGCATTCGGAGTATGGAATAACGACCTTAACTGCATAAATCTGTGTTGGTTTGGGCTCATTTTTATGATGTTTGCTTTTTGAGAAATGTTTTGGCCGTCTTCCAGCCCTTGCAGAGCCTCGGGATCAAATGGTTCTCTTATTTTGTAGGAAGTTAAGGTTTGCTTTCTAAAACCTCGCCAGTGACTGAGAGGGAGTGATTGAATAATTGATAGGTTGAAGGAAGCTTCTGATGAGTGAGTGTGTCCAAGCCAAATCTTCAAGCAGACGTATGTGGCAACAAGGCAGCCCCCTTCACATCAGCCAGCCTTGGCTCTGGAGAGACACCTGCTGTGTTTGCTGTCCCCTTCTATTGAGTTTACAGCATTTTCTCACCCCAGGAATCACAGAAAAAGCAGGAAAAATGTGTTTAGGTAAAATAAGTTTGTGGCCTGCCTCCCATTTTTTTTCTCCTTAGTTTTCTATATCCTTGGAACATGTTTGTTATTTTTAAAATACGTTGCCTCCAGTATAGTAATTTGCTCTGATGAGCCAGCGTCCCTTGTGCCTCCTCTGGTCTCTGTGAGCTTGTTTCCCTTGTGTGGATGTGAATACTTTACAGTAGCCACCCTAGGACCGGGTGGAAGGGGCACCTGCAGGAGGCGGTGGTGGGGTCTCCTGACCCGGCAGGAGGAGTTAGCATCTCTGAGACCCTAACCCTCTCATGGAAGGACTCATCCTCTGCTCTCCTGCAGCTCCTCTCCCTCTGCTGGTCTGCAGCTCCTGTTCCCATCTTTATTGGCAGCTAACCCTCCACATCTGTGCACCCATGTTGTGTGGTGCTCATGAGCCGTATGTTCCTCATGGTTTATTTGTTTGTTTGTGTATGCATTTATTTTGCAGTACTAGGGTTTGAGTCCAGGGACTTTGCATTGAACTATATCCCCAGGCCCTTTTTTTGTTTTTTGTTTGTTTGTTTCCTTTTTTTTCTTTCTGGTATCAGAAATTGAACTCAGGACCTTGTGCTTACAAGGCAGGCTTGGTGCCACTGAGCTAAATCCCCTCTCCCCTGCCCCCTTTAAAAATTTTTTTTGAGACATCAGTTTGCTAATTTGCCCAGGCTGAGCTCAAACTTAAGATTCTCCTGCCTCAGCCTCCTGAGTGCTGGGATTATAGGCGTGCATCCATGCCCAGCAATAGTTTGATTTTTTGAAAACAGCTTTCACATTATTCATCATCTTTGTCTTTGTCATTACTGTCAGCATCATCATATCATTAACCAGTCATTTTTTTCCTACATCTCTGTCACGGATTTTGGAGATCTTCAGCCTCAGAGTTACACAGTAGGAGGCCTTTCATCTCATACTTTTGTAGAGAGACCATGATGGCTTCCAGGATTACGTACAATAGTGAGGAGCGTGTTCCTTCTCAGGAAGTCATTCAGATTGCCGGGACTCACAAAGAGCGGAAAGGAGAAACACAGGTCAGAACTTAAAAAGCAAAAACCCAAATCCTAGATTATTAGGCTTTTAATTAAACATGGTGAATGCATTTAAATATAACACAAAGGCCCCAGGTTGAACTGCACCTGATCGAAGCAGATTAAGCCACCCTTCCACACTTGGATAGTTATTAATTCTGTTTATTTATGCATGCAAGTTGAAGGTAGCATTTGCTGCTGTTGTGTTGTTGCTTATTGCACTGGGATTCCGTTGCTGCTTGATGCTGTGCTCTTAATTAGCATTCAGCTGTTGATTATGGAAATACTGGAGATGCTAATTGAATTCTTTTTAAAATTCAGGGCCTGCATTTTCCTTGTGGAGATTGGCCTGACTTGCTAGATTGTAAGATTGGGTGCTCCACTGAGCTGTGTGTTTCACCCTTTGCTTCCTATCCTGTGGCCATGTTTGGTTTTTGAAATTAGGTTCATGAAATTAGCTTTCAGCAAAAGTCCAGGCGTTGCACAAGGTGAAGGTTTTGTTGCTTACAATATTACAGTAGGTGTCTCCATTTCATCTTGGGTAACTGTAGATTTTATCTTGAAATATGCTACCCATTAAATATTTTATACCAATTTTGATGTAATGCATTGAAGTGAACAACCTAGATACAAATAATAAGCTCTGAAATTTTCATCCAAAGATAGTTAATCCGTGGTGATAATAAACCTTAATTGGCTGTGTACGTGGATTTATTTACAAGTTCATAAATTTTAAAACATCAGAATCTTCCCTCAATTTAAAGCTCAGTTTATCATAAATATAAATGATATGTCAAAATTGACATGACATGGCAAACTAATTTTCTGAATATTTGTAATCCAGTGAACCCATGCAGCTGGTGGAGGAATTACTTACACAGAATACACACAGCTATTTGCATGGTGTCTTTCCCCAGCCGCATCTTCTGATGCCTTTGTTGTGCCCTTTCTGACATGCTGTTTGAGAAAACATTATTTTCATTGTGCACTGCTTCCAGCCAGGCATCTGGATGGGCCAGAACACAGAGCTGCTTAGTTGGGCAAAAATACAATGAATTTTACTTACCACATATGTGGCAGCTGAAGAAAATGGAATTCATAGCAAAAT